ATACCTGTATACTGATGTGCTTTGCAGTTGCACTATTTTATGCATTCTTATCCACAATGAGATCTAAAATATTTGCTTTCCTTAGTAAGCCTACTCTGCCAATTCAGCCAATGGCCATGGTCATTCTTGTTCTGGGTTTTAAAAAATAATTTTAGTTTGGGGGCCACAGTAGTGGTGCTCAGAGCCTACTTCAGTAGATTTATTACTCTGAAATCATTCCTGGCAGTGCTCAGAGAACTATGAAGTGCCAGGGTTGGAACATGGGCCTCCTGCCTTTAAAGCATGCACATACACTAATCTTTTGAACCATTTCCCTAGGGGCCAGATCATTCCTTATTTTTCTTTCTCAGACTCCCCACTCCTGTTCCACGTTTTACTTTCACTTTCAACAGCGAACTTTGTCTCCTTTCACTGAGAAAGCCACGACATCCAATCAAAGCTAGCCAGCCATTCTGACTGTGCTTATTTCTGCCACTTCCCATTCTCCCTCCTGCATGCTGTAACCAAGGAGGTAAATGCTGCTGGGGAGGATGAACCCTTTCATCTGAGTCCATGACCCTTCCCCATCAATTCAAGATTTTATGACTTCATTTTTCCAACTTCCATCTCCACAAAGCACCCCCAACATCATTTACATCAGCCTTTAAGTAAGCCAAATATTTTCTACCTTTATGACAATCTCTCTCTTGAGAAGTTTGCATCATATGTGTGGTATTCTTGCTAAATATTTAACCTGAATCTGATCATGAGGAAACAATCAGACAAATTCAGGGTGTGGGACATGCTATGTGACAAGTAGCCCAAACTCAGTGCCATGAAAAAGAGAAGAAGAGGAGGAGGGGAAGGGGGGGAAGAGGAATAGGAGGGGGAGAAGGAAAAGGAGAAGAGAAGAAGAAGGAGAAGGAGGAGGAGGAGGAGGAGGAGGAAGAAGAACTGTTTCAGATTAAAGGAAATAGCAGGGCTGTATCAACCAAATGGAATGCATTAACCTCAACTGGATCTTAGGCCAAAAAATAAATAAATAAAAAAGAAAGCAGCTCTATAGGAGACATTGGGGCTGTTGGGGAAATGTGATATGTTTCTTGGATGGTTTATTAATTCAGTGTTAATTTTTTTTTTTCAGTGAGAGGGAGCATTGAAGTCAGGCGGAGCAAGGCCTGGAACTCACTGAGCATTCAAGTACAAAAGCCTTTGTCTTTTGGAGGTTGGGGTGGCTTTTGCAGTGTGCAGTATTTTTTGCTCTCTACACCTCCACTCCACTGCTACACTCCCTTTCCCCCTCTTTTTCTTTCTTTCTTTCTTTCTTTTTTTTTTTTTTTTTAGGCCATACCCAATGATGCTTAGGGCTTATCCTGGCTCACTACTAGTGATCTTGCTTAGAGGACCATATGTGGTGCCAGGGACCAAGAGAATTCGGCTGTGTGCAAGGTGAGTGCCTTACCACTATCTCTATAATCCACCCCTTTGAAGCTAAACTGCAACCTTGGGTCTCCTCTAATTCTGAGTATTACTCAAAAGCAGCCTCAGGACACAGATCACTAATAAAGTCCTGACTCAGGCATCTCCATCAACTTGCTTGGATGCCTTGAGAAACCTCCCTTGTAACTGGGCTTGTCCACATCCCCTGGAACCACACCACAGTCTGTATACACTGATTGCTTTGAACTCAAGATTCGCACCAAATTGCACAGGTCTGACAGCATTTGAATCTTTAAATACCCAGGGTAGATCTCCAAGAACAAAGTGTGTCCTCCGCGTATTGCTCAGGATTATTTCCAGAGTGTGAGTTCATTTGGCCTGTGCTTTTGTGTGTACGACTCAGATAAGCAGTCTCCAGCCCATTTCCTTTGCTGCCTGGCTTTTACAAGTCCAATCAGTATTTAAATGTGGCAGTGACAGACCCCTCAGTATTTGTGAGCTGAAGGGATACACGAATGATTTAAGGTCTGATTCAGCTCCTAATCAAGCAAACTATCTGATTCCTGCAACTTTGGCTGAAGGAATAAGCAAGAATATCTTTTTAGGTTTTATCAGAGACATAGATATTTTATCTTCTTGTTCTTCGTGATCTCATAAAGTCTATATCTCCCTTGATAATTGAACACATTTATGAGCTAAGTTTTTGGAAAGGAAAAATCCTACTTTTTCCTGGATTTTATATGAAATGTGTATCCTCCCAAAAAGTTTGTGTCCTTGGAGCTGGGGTGATGGTTCAAAGGACGGAGCACATGTTTAGCATACAGGAGGACCTCAACTTGATTTCAAGTACTGAGTGGTTTCTTCAGCATTTCTAGGCATACCCCTTTCCAAAATAATAAAATAAAAGAGTAGATATTAAGCTTTTTTGCCATACCCAATGATGTTTGGGGCTCTGGAAGCCCCGGGTGGACCATGTGGTGCTGGGGATCGAGTTTGAGTCAATTATGTGCAAAACATTTGCTCAATTATGTGCGAAACATTTGCTCACAGCATTGAACTATCTCTCTGGATTTGTCTTTAAAAATAAAAAAAAATTGTCAAAAAAAAAAAACCCACAAAGGGGGAAAAAGGTGAACTGTTCTGTGATGTAATCCTGGAATTCTCGGAATTCATCAACAAGTAATTATTTTCAGGTAATAATTTAATATATGAGGGCTATGAAACTAAAACTTTCATTCTTTTTTTTTTTTTGGGTCACAGCCGGCGATGCTCAGGGGTTACTCGTGACTCTGCACTCAGGAATTACTCCTGGGGGTGCCTAGGGGGGGGCATATGGTATGACGGGGATAGAACCCAGGTGGGCCGCATGCAGAGCAAACGCCCTACCCTCTGTACTATCACTCCCGCCCCCAAAACTTTCATTCTTATGTGGATCTTCTGACTCACATTCTCTGTTCTTGTCCTGGGGTGAGATTTTTCTGTGAACTTCAGGGCCCTTGGAACCCTGCCGCTCCTGGCTAATAGCCAGTGTCCGATTGTGCTAGGTTGTAATCCCACATGCTGCCAGTAGGTGCCTCTCTGCTAACACTCGATATCTCTACAACTAAAAATTTGGGATTCCACGTGACAATTGGGAACAACACAAATTTTGTAGGTTTACATTTTTATTTAAGGGGTTATTAGATGCTTACCTTGCACGTGACCAACCTGGGTTCGATCTCTGGCATTCCATATGGTCTCCAAAGCACCCCCAGGAGTTATTCCTGAGTATAGAACCAGGAATGTATATGAAAGTCTTGGAACTAGCTCTGCCCAATAGATCATTTGGCAGTTTGTCCTACAGTCTCATGGTGCCGTGCCAACAGAACCTTAAAACTGGTCTACAAAACTGAATTTGGTATTGGAAGCAGTATTGGATTGGGGGAGGGACTCCAGGACAATGGTGATAGAGGGAAGTGGACACTTTGATGTAGGGTGTGGTATAGGGTCCGTGCCCATGAAACCCAATCAAGGAACAGTATCGCGAATGGCTGTGCTTAAAATAACATTAATAAAAATGAAAAGAAAAGCAACATTTCTGTGTTTTACAAAATAGAAGGAGAGTTATTGAAACCCTGGGTTAGTAAATCAATCTCTCCGCTTCTTCTATCTCCCTTCCCCTCCCTTGGTTGTTATTGTTGAAATGGGGATGGGGCGGTGGAGTTGGGTGCAAGTGGAACACAAGCTTGGTCGTGTGGCTCTTGGGGTCTCCGGTTGTGTGCTCTCATGAGTGTTCTCAGTACTTGCTGCAGGAGTTCTATGCTTTGGGCCTTAGTATCTTCATCTGTCAATTGGGGAAAATGGTTCTCTAGGCCAGGCTGAGGAGTGATTGATGTGCATATGAGCCTCACTGGATGGGGTCACAAATAACCCTGTTGCTTGCAGTGGCTGGTGACCCAGCATCTAGCTCCAAGCTAGTCTTCCTGTCCAGTGTCGTCCAGGGGCTGAATCTGGGAGAGGACACAGTCCAAGGCCTTGACCATCAGGCATATGGATTAGCCAGGAGCTGCCTAGGAGACCGGCTGCTGTGTCAACTTCATTCATCCAGAGGTCAGAGTCAAAGGCCAACCCGAGGCTGAACTAGTGTCCATGGAGTGGAGGGGGTGGGTCCATACGCCCACCTGTGTTTCCTGCATAATTAGCCCCTGCATGGCCTCTGTCCTCTTCTTGGATCAACAACAAAGGATGGCGTAACTTATGTCAGTTTGAATTTCTATTCTGGGTCACCCTTGCCTGCGTTAAGTGAATCATCTTTTCCCATTGTGCTACTGACAAGGTTTTTTCCAGCCTGGACCATCTCATCTGGGTACTGGTGGCTGGCCACAGGTGCGTGTGTGAGAGAGTAAAAAATTCCTGTAAAGTAACCTTTCTCCTGGAAATCTTGTTAAGAGTCACAGCCTGAATCTGGGGTTCTAGGAGGGGGCTGGAAATCGGTATCCCTTACGTGTTCCTGGGGATGCTGGTGCTGCTGCATCCAACACTATACTTTATTGAGGCCTCGTCAGGGGTTCTCAAGGAATGCCCCTGAGCCGGACCGGTAACATCTCCTCACAAGCTCCCTCTGTCTCTCTCCTTCTGTCTCTCCCTCTCCCCCTCCCTCTCTTTTTTTCTCTCTCTCTCCCTCTCTCTGTGTATGTGTGTGTGTGTCTGTGTGTGTGTGTGTGTGTGTGCGCTCATGTGTTTGGTAATGTCATTTATATTTTTGTAAATATATAACTAAATAGCCAAGAGAAAAGACTGAGAAATTTTAAAGAACTTTAAGTAAAAAAATAAAAATATTTAGGCTCTCAGTATTTTGGTGTTTCCTTTGTTTTTTTTTCAATGTTTTGTTGTTGCTGATTTCTTTCTTCTAATTTTTATTTAGACATGATTTACAATCATGTTAATAACCGTTTTACCTCACACAATGTTCCAACAACACACTCCCCACCAGAGTGTCACCTTTCCTCCACTGATGTCCCAAGGACCCTATCCCCCATCCTTGGTACGGAAGTCACTTCTCTGGTCTTTGATCATTTGTTTTACTCTTATTATGCTTATTTATAAATAGGAAATATGGATTTGCATGTTATCTTCGTTCAGGGGCCATGCTAACCTTCTCTGCATTGTTCCAGTTTCAGCAGATGTGCTGCCGAAGCTATCAGAGTAATCTAAGTTTTATCAGGCTTTACTACTGGCTCAGGTATAGGCTAATATTTGAGAACCACTGTTCTAAATTATTGGTTCACAAACCTAGCTGCTCTTTGGAAGAGGCATGGGCAATTCCAAAATAGATAGCAGTATTTTCTTTCTCTTTTTTTCTGTTGCTACATTTCAGCAATGCCAGAAATTGAACCTATCACAAACCCAAGGCAATGCTCCAACGCTGAACCGTATCCCGGCCCTTGGCTGCTCTTTGCAATCACCTGTTTCCAGTTATTGTTTGTCTTTATTTTAAAATTTGCTTTTGATTGTTTTAAAAATCAGCATCTTGGAAGCATAATTTCCTGGAAAGTTAAAAAATAAGTTTCCTGGATCCTAAACTCTGATTTGATTGCTCTCGAACGTAAAATGGCACTGACATTTAGAGTTTCTCTCTGTCTGTCTCTCTTTCTTCCCTTTCTTCAACTTAGTTAATCTAGTAACATATCCTGGCACAAAAGCAGTTTGATCTTTGTCTTTAACCAGTGGCTTTGTTTTTGGCCATCTCTATGTTCTCTCTTTGGAGAAGGGACTATCCAAATCTTTCTTTTATTTGGTTGGTTTTTGTTATCAAGTTGTATAATTTTTTATACTCATTGGATATTAATTCTTGTTCAGATGTTATTTGATGACCCTATGTATTCTCCCACTTACTATCTCTTCCCCTCCCCATTTCTATTTTATTTTTCTCTTACTGTACAAAAGTGTTTAGTTTAGTTGTTTGACTGTTTTCCTTTCATTTTCCTTATTGTTAGAATTAAGTTCTCTAAAATACCTCAAATATTATTCTCATGAAATATTTCACCTATACTCTCTTCTATGAATTTTATGGTTTTGACTGTTACATCAAGATCTCTAATTCACTTTGAATTTATCCTATTTATTCTGTGTATGGGGTTAGGGAGTAGTTTGGCTTCTTTCTTTTGCATGTGGCAGTTCAGTTTTTGCAGAACTGTTTGTTGAAGAGATTCTCTTTTCCCCATAATGCAGTCATAAATCCTTTGTCATAGATTAAGTATCAACTAGTATGTGGGCTGATTTCTGGACTTTCATTGTAACCCACTGACCTATGTGTCTCCTTCATACCAATACTATGCAATATTAGTCATTCTCAATTTAGGAAGGTTTGAAGTCAGATAACATGATGCCTCCTTTTTACTTTTTCTTCCTCAATATTGTCAATAGTTATTTAAAGTCTTCCATGATTTCATATAAACACTGGTGCTTTCTTCATTCTATTTCCCTAAACATGTTATTGGAGTTTTGAATGTAATTCTATTAAGTTGTATGTAGTTTTTGGTAAAATGGACATTTGGACTATGTTAACTCTCCCCATTTATGTACATGGAATGACTTTATATTTCTTAGTGTTTTGTTGTATATCTTTTAGTGATGTCTTGCCTTTTTTATTTTGTTTTTGGTCCACACCCAGCAGTGCTCAGGGTTTACTCTGTCTCTGTGCTCAGGAATCACTCTTGATGGGCTCAGGGAACCATACTAGTTGCTGGGAACTGAACTCAGGTCTGCAGCATTCAACGCAAGTGCCATCCTTGTTGGACTATCACTCTGGTCCCTTTCTTGTTATTTTTATATTGGCCTTTAACCTCCTTTGTTAAATTAATTCCTAAGTTTTAATTCTTTTGTAGGCAATTGTGGGATTGCTTTCTTAATTTCTTCCTCTCACTATTTATTTTTATTGAATCATTGTGAGATACAAAGTTGTTCATGATTGGGTTTAGTCGTACAATGGGTTCAGTCTTATCCCTTAACCAGTGCACATTTCCCACCACCAATGTCCCCAGTTTCTAGTTTCCCTCTAGTCCCCCCCAGCCTAACTCTATGGTAGGCATTTCTCTACCTCTCTCTCTCTCTCTCTCTCTCTCTCTCTCTCCCCCCCCCCCTCTCCTTTTAGGCATTGTGTTTTGTAAGACAGGTACTGAAGAGCTAGCATGTGTATCCCTTTATCTCCTTTCAGCACTCAGTTCTCCAGAGTGATAATTTCCAACTATCATTGTCATAGTGCTCCCTTCTGTGCCCTATCTGTACTCCTGCTCCTCCCTTACGGAGCTTCCTACCATACACCAGTCTTCTTGGCACTTGTTTCTATTGTCTTTGGGTTTTACTCACATACTATGATTTTTTTTTTTTTTGCAAATGCATGCAATCATTCTATGTTTGACCCTCTCCCTCTAATTTCACTCAGCAGGATACTCTCCATGTCCATCCATGCATAAGCAAATTTCATGACTTCATTTTTCCTAACAGCTGTGTAGTGTTTCGTTGTGTAGATGTACCATAGTTTCTCATAGTTTCTTTATCCACTCATCTGTTCTTGGGCAATTTGGTTGTTTCCAGATTCTGGTTTCTATGAACTGTGCTGAAGTGAATATAGAAGTGCAGATGGCTTTTCTGCTGTGTGTTTTTGGGCCACTATGGTGCATTCCTAGGAGCATTATTGCTGGGTCATAGGGAATCTCAATATCTAGTTTTTTTGAGGAATGTTAATATTATTTTCCAGAAAGGCTAGCAGTCCCTTTCTCTCTGCACCCACCCTAGCACTGGTTGTTCTTTTTAATGTGAGTCAGTCACTGGTGTGAGATGGTACCTCATTGTTGTTTTGATTTGCATTTCCCTGTTGATTAGTGATGTAGAGCACTTTTCCACGTGCCTTTTGGCCATTTGTATTTCTTATTTGAGTAAGTTTCTGTTAATTTCTTCTTCCCATTTTTTGATGGGGTTGGAGTTTTTATCTTGCAAAATTCTTCCAGTGCCTTATACACACATATTATCATATATATTAAGCCCCTTACAGATGGGTGTTGGGTAAATATTTTTTCTCATTCCATGGATTGATGGGCTGTCTTTCTATCCTGACCATCACTTCCTTTGAGGAGCAGAAGATTCTTATTTTTATGTAGTCCCATTCGCTTCTCTTTGCTTCTACTTGTGTGGTCAGTGGTGTTTTATCCTCAAAGATGCCTTTAGTTTCTTACATACAGAAATTCAACAATGTATTGAACTGATTTTGTACTAAGCTATTGATTTTTTGTACACCTTATTTCTTTCTAATAACACTCTCCTCTTTTCTTTTATGGGGTCCCACATTCAGTGTTTCTGGGCTAGAGTTGGAACTGTTTCTGGATGGCATGTGGAGCCAGGGATCAAACCTGGGACCTTTCACATGCTAGGATGTGCTCTACCACTAGAGCTACCCCCAGTCCTCTAGTATTTATTATTATTTTTTGGTTTCTTGCCATACCTGGTGGTGTTCAGAGATCAGTCTTGGTGGTTCTTGAGGGATCACATATGAAGTGTTGATCAAATACTGGGTCAGCCACACATGGAACAACTTTTTGCTGGAGTTCTTATGGTGATATATAAATATATAAAATATCTGCAAATAATGATAGTTCACTTCATTTATTAGATTACTTTAATTTATTTAGTTCTTTATTTATTGATTTGGGGGCCACACACAGTGGTGTTCACTTCTGGCTCTGTGCTCAGGGCTTGGAGGACCATATGAGGTGCTGGTGATTGAACCAGAATCAGCTGCATGTGAAGCAAGAGTACCTACTGTACTATTACTTTAGCCCTGTCTTTTTATTTATTTTTTGTTTTGTTTAATTGCTTTGGATAAGACCTCTAATACTGAAATTGCACTGGAGCACTAGTACACCAGTGCCACAAAGCCCGAGACATTACGTGGCATGTACTCGTGGAATTCTAAAATTTTAAATAGGGTTCTAGAGCTGGAGTTAATTTTTTTTTTTTTTTTTTGCTTTTTTGGGTCATACCCGGCGATGCACAGGGGTTACTCCTGACTCATGCACTCAGGAATTACTCCTGGCGATGCTCCGAGGACCATCTGGGATGCTGGGAATCAAACCTGGGTTGGCCACATGGAAGGCAAACGCCCTACTCGCTGTGCTATTGCTCCAGCCCCAGAGTTAAATTTTTTAACTGGATAGTGATTTTGGGGTCCAGAGGCATCTTTGTAGCGTATTTCTCTCTTCCAATATTCATTTGTGAGTCTCTGGATCATGACCATTAATATGCTTAAATAGCGTCCAGAGGCAGTTCATGGGCATGAGTGCCAGGAAAACAGAAGGGTGAGTAGATGGGTGAGGGGCTCATCCCCAACTCTGTGAACTTGGAGCTTTCAGTCACAAAACCTGCATACCTGGGTTTTCAGTATACCTGGGATTCATTCTCATGTGTGGGGGACTCCAGACAAGCCTGTGAGGTCAGCGTGAGCTTAGTGGAGATTGGGTTCTGGAGGTTTATGGCTCTGGGGTTCTTTCATGGCAGGTGGAGAGACACATCTGCCCTGCTCCGAGGTGCCTTGATGAAATCAGCCTGGTGCAGGGTGAGAAGACATCTCTGTGGGGTGCTGTTCTCTTTTGAGATTCATTTGTGAGTCTCAGTGTTCCCTTCTTGACCTATGCCTCCTTCCCCCACAGTGGCAAGCTTCCTACTAAGGACAAGTTCTCTTGCTCTGTTTCTATGGCCTTTGTTTCTATTGGGCATTAGTTATTCCACTGCTGTATTTCTTCATATTCCACAGATGAATGAGATCATTCTGTGTCTGTCCCTCTCCTTCTGACTAATTTCACTCAGCATGCTACTCTCCAGACCCATCCATGTCTCAGCAAATTGCATGACTTTATCTTTTCTTATGGCCAAGTAGCATTCCACTGTGTGTATTTACCATAATTTCCTTATCCAATCATCTTTTCTTGGACACTTGGGTTGTTTGTAGATTTTGGCTATTGTGAATAGCACTGCAGTGAATGTAGATGTGCAGATGTCTTTTCTGCATTGTGTTTTTGGGCACTAGGAATATATGTACAGGATAGCTTAAATTTTACCAATACATATCTTGGTGCAACCAACCTTCCTTCCTTCTTTCCTTCCTTCCTTCCTTCCTTCCTTCCTTCCTTCCTTCCTTCCTTCCTTCCTT